AACAAATAACAGAATGGTAGGTGAACAGATACATTGGATAATCTAAGATATAGTGGGAAAAAGGGGGGTAATAACGAAATTAATTTTTATAAGAAGGCGATGGTTCTGCAGAGGCTGAGGTTACTCACCTTCATTTAATTTATAAGTTTGATGCAGTCACCATGCAAGTCCCACGAGATTTTTAAAAAACTCAACAATAATGTTAACACAAATCACCTGGAAGCCTAAGCAACTAATTATAGGTAAGAGGATGCTGAAAATTTTAGGGAGAGATCTACTTAAAATTGAACTACCAGATAGAAAATGATATAAAACGACAGCCATATAAATGATATGTTATAAGCATGAGGATAGGGTTGGGTAACACAGAAGAGAAAAGGAATAAACATGGGCATAAGAACTTCGTCTCCGCCTGGACTCATAGCCAGGACCCCTGGTGGTGCGGTGGGTTATATGTGGGGCTGCTAACAAAAGGTCAGAGGTTGGAATCGACCAGCTGCTTCACACACGAGGCAGTATACTTGTGTCAAGATTTATAGCAACCCTGTGGAGCAGTTCTGTGTTGTCCAGTAGGGTCCTTTTGAGCCAGAATCAACTTGGAAGCAGTGGGTATGGACTCACGAGGAACCCTGGTGGTGCAGCGATTAAGCTTGTGACTGCAAACCCAGAGTTCAGAGCTTAGAAACCGTCAGCCAGTCTGCAGGAGAAAGAGGGGGCAGTCTCCTTCCTCCGCAAGATTTCAACCTTCACACCAGTTCTCTTCTGTGCTATCAGATCGCTCGGGGTCAGAATGGACTCGGCGGCAGCAGGTTGGGTTCGTTTTGGTTTTTAATGACCTCATTGGGGAAAAGGATGAAATGTTCCATGAATTATGCAGAAACTATTCATTAACTATTTGGGAAGAACAAAGTTAGATTCTTATTTCATGTCCTATCCCCAGATAGGAGGGGGAGTCAAAAAGTTCCTGGAAAGATTTGATATTCTTTTCATTCCATTGCTCCATGAACCTTTTGAAGTCTCCTGGTACAATTGGTCCTTGTTAGGTATGCATAATCAGTTCTGATGAGTAGCACCCCCAGGTCCAACAGAGTGAAGCAGTGCCCTATCCTGTACCGTCCTCCCGGTCATTCCTATGTGTAAACCCGTTGTTGTAACCACTGTGTCGGTCCATCTTGTTGAAGGTTTTCTTCTTTTACACTGGCTGACCCTCTACCTTATTAGGCATGATGTCTTTCTCCACAAACTGGCCCTCAACATGTCCAAAGTACATGAGATGAATCCACATCACTCCTAAGGAGCATTTTGGCTGTACTTTTCCAAGAGCACATTAGTTCTTTCTTCTTGTAGTCTGTATTCTTCACCAGCAGCATAATTCAAATTAATCACACCCCCCATCTCAATACTCATTGTCCTGAAAAAAGGAGCAGGGTGGTGGCGGCTTTCTACTCCTGTAAACAGTTACAGTCTTGAAAACCCACAGGTTTGCCGGGAGTCACATTGATTGGATGGCAATGAGTCTGGCTTGGTGACTGTTCACCTGCGGGTGAAGCAGTGGAAAGCACTGCGGCTTGGGTCATGCTCACCTTTGTCCTCAAAGTGACAGCTTTGCTGCTTAAGGAATCTTTTTGCACCCGACTTGCCCAGTGCAGTGCGTTTCTCCATTTCTTGACTACAACTTTCACAGGCATGCTTGTGGGGCCAACTCAAACGAGGCCCTTGACAACTCCAGTCTTCTCTCCATTTCTCATGTGGTCATTTATTTGCCCAGTGTTGAGGGCTTTTTAAACACATTTTTAAGTTGTAGTGTCATCCATCCTGAATACTATTGTGTTTGATTTGTATGAATAAGTACTTCAAGTCCTCTTGCTTTTAGCAAGCAAGGC